AATTCAATGCTGTTGCCAAGAATGAGGATATTTCAACTGTAACTTGGGCAGCACATCTGGATTTGCTGCTGGAATTAGAGTAATTGTGCTAAATGAGTTCTAATGCAGCGATACGCCAGGCAAATTGGTAAAATGATGTGACTGGTTTATGCTAGGTATCAGCACTGAAATTTCTGTGTAATGCAATATAACTGGTAATTCAAGCAAAGTGCCTAGTTGGACTGAAATTATAGAGCCTCTCCTGTACTCTTCTTTTTGTTACGGCTGTATTAAAATGTCGCACTTCCATGGGGTCTCACAGCTCTGCCAGTGAGTGGGTGTTAGTCCCAGGGCCGCACTGTTTCAAGGAGCTGGCCTCCAGAAGTCAGGCTGTGTTTCTCCAGGGCTGCGGGCAACAGCAAGGACCTGCCGTTTGCTGTGCCACTGCGGGCTCGCCCTTGCACATAGCACAGGTATATTCGTTTGACTCGTGCTTCAGGGGTGGTGCAAAAGCAAATCAGTCTGACATTTGCAAGTATTAGTCATCTTGAAAAGTTCTCTGCCCCAAAACTGGTTTTAGCAGAGATATGTGTGTGTGTGTGTCTTCTGTTTGGCGCTCTTCTCTTCCCTCCATTCCCTGAGGCTCTTTGGTGTTGCTGTGCACACTGAGATTGGCTGTGAGGATGCTCTGGGAGGCTGAGCTCCGGGGAAGCTGAGGAGGGACTCGTAGCGTGCCCTGGCCAGGGTCCCTGCAGGCAGAGCAGGGATGGGCTTGCCAGCTCTCGTGCTGCATCCCGTTATTTAGCTGGGATAGGTTTGAGGCTTCGCCAGCACCCAAGAAGCCAAGTGCAAGTGCTGTGCAACCAACGTGTAGCACGAGGAGGGGAGCACAGTGCCACGCACCTGAGCGCGGGCCACCTGAGCTGTCACTGCACTTGTGTCAAGTGCTGCCAGTGCCCGGGAGGGACCGTAGCACCCGGGTGTGCTGCTGCCGTGGCTGCTTCCAGGAGGGGGGCTGCCTCCGCACCGTGCAGCTTCACCAGAATGCATACAGTAGTGCTGGGCAAGCTTCCCGAGAGGTGACTCCAGGCTCAAGTTTGTTTTTCAGTAAGTACAGCAGCTCTGCGGCTGCATCTCTGCGTGACCCCCTTAGCCCAAGGGCTGCAGGTGCAGGGTGCTGCAGCGGGGCTGGGAGTGGAGGAGAGGGGCTGAGCTGGGGGAGCATCTCTGGAGGGGACGGAGGGAGCAGCTGGAGTGGGGGAAGCATCCTGCCCGTGCTTAGCCTGTACCCGGGCGCTGCGGTGGCTGCATTGGGCTGGATCCGAGGCAGAGGTGGCCTGACACCCCTTGCTCCCACTGCACGTTTCTTAAATGGAAGCTTTTGGGTAGGGAGTGCCTTGCACAGCGGTGTGCTGGTTTCTGTGCCTTTGTCCCTTGAAAAAGGGGTCACTGATGGGGTTTTATATTTTCATTTTACATGATCTCTGCTTGATGCCCAATGTCGCACTGATACTGTCTGCTGGTCCAGCTACATATAGGATGCTTGCAGAATTATTTGAACCTCCTAATGACTTGGGACCTTGTAGCTCTTGTATAACTTTGCAATGCAATGTTTTAATAGGGGGGGTGCGTGTGCCTTTTTTTGGCCTTTTGGGACATTGAAAAGTTGCTGGTATTCTCTTGTGCATCTGTTTCTTAAATCAGTTCATACTTGCATTTAACATGTTTCTTTGTGTGCACATGGTGATAATTGGCTTTGCTCATCCTGTGAAATAATGTATTCCAATTTTATTTTTATAACTATCCTGCAATATTTGATGGCACTCTGGTACACTGGGTTATCTGATTGTGAAAAATGGGGGCTCAGTCAGGTGTATTTAAAAACAGACTGGAAGAATTTTGTTTGCTAAACCTCAAGAGCTAATGCTCGGAATTTACCTTGCCCTCCAAAAAAATGGTGATTATCAAAATTCTTCGTTATTGGCTCCGTGCATTCATGTGAGGCCTGATAGGGAGCTGATGTCTGATGTCAGTGACCAATTTTCAGCAGTTTGGAAAATTCTTGCCAAAAAAATCCTTTGAAGTTCCCATGGTGCTTTCAGCTGACTTCCCATGTAACTTGGAGAAGCGGGTTCCTCCCCAGCTGGCACTGAAAGAAGGCTCATGAGAAATCGTCTCCAACCTGACCTGAAGGCACAGCTGTTTCCTGGGGGATTAGGAAGCTTCCCCTCACTCAGTTTTTGGGATCTCAGCAGATGTTTTTTCCCCTCTGTGGGAGGGGAGCTCTGACCACAACAGATGGGAACTGAGGTACCTGGACCCACACAGTCTTCCCCCCGGCCCCGAGCAGTGGCTTTAGGAAAGCTTGCCCTTTGACCACGGGACATCTTGGGATGAGCAGGCAGAGGTGCCTCCTGCTCCAGGCTCTGTCCCTGATCAGCTGCTCAGGCTTTGGCTCTACCTTTGGCTTTTCTAGACTGTTCTGCAGTTGTCACTGCTTTAACTTCAAACCTGCTGTTTGGGGGTCCACTTATGCATCCTGCTGGACTCCATCCTCCACGTTGCTTGAGGACCTCAAAAGAAGCAGCAGTTGCTGCTCTCCAGGTATCAGCCAGACTGGGAAAGAGCCACATGGAAAAGGAGCCTTCAAACAGCCAAGGTTTTGTCATTTTTGTAGAAATGGGGTGGCTACTCCCAATATGGCTTAAGTCTGTCTTACCTGCTTCCCCTGGACACTGGGAGGTCAGGTGCTTGTGAGCATCACCTGTGCTGTCCTGGGGGGAGGGATGAGCTGCTAAAAGCAATGCTGAAGGAAGAGCAGCACTAGGCTCTGCATCAGCTGATGAGTGGCTCCTAGGGATGCAGCTCCCTAGAGGAGCCAGGGGCTGGGAGAGTGGCTGTGTTTAACTTGCATTGAGTGGTCTTGGCGTGGAGGAGTGAAACTGAAACCCTGGAGAAACAGGGCTGGAGTCCTCCGGCACTGTAGGAATGGACAGAGAAGCTGTCAGCTCTGAAGACCACCATTTTCCTCCTTCCCTGCTTCTGTCTAGCCACACTTGAGAAGTGTAATCAGAATAAAAGCTGCCTGGGAAAGTCACAAAGATGCAACACAATACAGTGTGCTCACCCAGGGCTCAGGAGAGGTGGCTGGAGCTGCGAGGAGTCTCCCAGGGATGGTGCAAGGGCCACTTTCCAGTGCTGTCCAGCTTGTCTCGACATGCTGGCTGGGCAGGGGACCTGGCAGAGATGCTTTCCAGTCCGCTACTCTTGGGTAGCCCTAGGACTTATGGTGTTTGAGGTTACTGTGAGGTAGCTGTTATGATTTCTGCCTGAAAAAGTGTTGTGGGTGGTTGTGAACTCAGACTAGTGCTGGTTCCCATGGCTGCGATGGCTTCACTGTATTTGGAGAGTTTTGAAATGGGAAATGCTGGTCTCTATGGCCCAAACAAGCATACATACAGGAATGTGTGAGATGGACCTAGACAGCCACATAGTTGTGTTTATGGCTTGGGTTTTTGCCTCCAAAATGTCTGCAGACAAAGGTGTGAGATGCTTGTACAAATGTCTTGGTGATGGTTGCGCAGGGGTGGCGATGTGTGTGACAGTGCTCTGCGTTACCCCAACACAGAAAGTCCCAGTGCTGTGTGAATTTTGATTTCTTTACCAGTCTCCTCCACAGCTCCGCTTAAACATCAGTTTGTCTCTTGCAAATTAAACTATCGTTTCACTTGTAAAGTGTTTTGTTCTACTATGAAGTGAATGTAGGAAGCTGACTTTCGCATCACTGAGTCCATGGCTGCAAACCCCAGCACAGCAGATTGTTAATGTGAAATTAGAGATATTTCAGCAATATCTCAACAGATTGCTGCTTAATGAACTCTTCTGGGAGAGAGACTCCTGTGACAGTCTGATCTTGAAGGGCTGACCACATCATTCCTTAAGCAAGGGAGGGCCTGAGGGCTGTTCCTTTGCCTTGGAGGAAAGGAGACAACCTTTCCCTTGCTCCACGTCACCAGAGGACAACCAGAGACTAAAATACAGAGGAGAAACATGGGAGCTTGTGTTGCTTCTGCCCCAGCACTGGTTGTGCTTCCAGCCAGATGGGTGCCTGGTGAGCCTGGTCCAGGGGACTGGGATGCACTGGGAAGGCTGTGGGGCAGCAGTCTTCTCTGGAATATCACTTTTTGATCACAGATGGAGGTGTTTATAGAATTGTCTGAGCTTTTGGGCATTGCACCTGGAATCCCACTGTCACTAGCTACCCAGACATGGGGTTTCATAGAGGCACAGGCTCCTCCCGCTTGTTTTCCCGGCGCCGACACTGTTGGGCTCCCAGAGTAGGCTTTGCAGCCTTGCAGGAGGCCTGACTCTCCCGCAACGAGCTGTGGCTCCTGCCTAACTGCCTAGAAGGGGATTCCTGGCCATAGCAGTGTTCCCCCGGAGTGGGGGGTGCTGGGGAAGGCTGGCTTGCTCCGTGGAGTGTGTCCATCAGTCTGTCTAATCCTCCGGCTGCTTTGTCTGCAGTCTTCCAAATTGCCCTGTTGTCCCCAGACAATGCTGCTTTGCAAATGCCAAAGGAGGACCCTGGGGCAGCACTGCTGTTCCTCTGCCCTCCCGTCAGGTGGTCTGGAGGAGAAGAGAGGGATTCAAATTAACCCTGCTCGTCCTCTCCACTCCTGCTGCCCAGCTGCTCTCCTGTTGCCTTTATGTAGCCCGGGAGCAGATAACATCGTCTCTGCCAGGTAACCGCTGCTGTCCTCCTCTGAAGGCATGTGGGTGCCTTCACCCAGCTGCCTCTGAAGGAGCCGGCGTTACACCTGTCCTCTGCAGCGGGGAACCAAGAGTTGTCTCCTCCTGCCTCCCGCTTGCCTGGTATCCCCCTCGGCTGCTTTTCTGGTGCCTCCCGGCCCCCCCTCCGCTCTGCTCCGGCTCCCTGACCTCCTTTGCCGCGTTGCGTTTCACCGCTGCTGGTTAACGTGGAGCCGATAGCGATAAGAGGGGTGACAGTGTTACCTGCTCACGCTGCGCCCAACAGCCAGCGAGCGGGCACGCTGCCTCCGCCCGCTGCCCGCAAACCAGCCCGTCTTGGGAAGCGCCCCGGCCCCCTCCCCGGCAGCGTTGGAGCCCATCGGAGGGAGAAGGTGGGAGACACTATGTGGATACAGACTCCTTCCCTGGGTTCATTTTAGCCAATAAACAGAAAGGAATAAAGGAAAACTTTTCCCTTCATCCATCAGTGTACAGAGGATTCCTGTTCCTGGTGTGACTAGCTGAGAAGGTGGGACTCTCCCAAAGTCATGCTCATCAAACGCAGTCCGAGCTCAGAGGGAGCTGTGGGTCAGATGCCACATTCATGACATGCACCGTGCCCCCCAGACTTAAAGCCTTGATTGTCCGTATTAAACCTCAGAGAGGAGAAACCATCTTCGCCTGCAGAGGAAGAAGTGTAATGCCCTGTGTCCAATTTTCTTTTCATTGCTGTTTTTATTATGGAAACAAAATGTTCTCGGCAAGGCACACAGCAGGTTTTCTGCGGCGGATGGTCGTCCCTTGTTGCGAGCAGGCTGCTTGCAGTGGATGGTTCTAAGCAGGGAAATAGGAACGAATAGGTTTTTGTTTATTTTTTAACATGGCATCCACAACGGAGGGATCAAAAGGACGTGAAACTAGCTTGCTGGTCTGCCAGTTGAGTTAACGCTGTTTTTCTTTGCTGTTTCCTTGAGGGTCTTTTGGCACGGCTGTGAGTTGCTGTCAGACACCCTTTCCCCTGGAAATGCTTCGCTGACTTAATCTGGCTTTGCTGCACGGGGCTGTAGCGAGTTTTTTTTTTTGAAGCCCTTGTTTATCCTCCGCCCAGCTGGTGTCAGGCACTGAGGATGCGGAGACAAGCGTTCCTGGGTAGGGGAGGTTTGGCGATAGGATTTCCCTCCAGGTTAGCAGCATGCCTTTTTCTGCTGCCTGCTGTCGAGAGGCTTTGTGCTGGAGCTTGGAGAGCAGAGCCTGCAGGTGACCTCTGACTGGATCAAGCTTGCTTGCTTTAAATGTCCGTCCCTCTCCTTGCGCTCAGGTGTTCGGTGACAGGCTGGAAGATCATGTTAGGTAGGTGCTGCTGGAGGCTAAGGGGTGCCTTCTCCTTTGGAAAACAGAGAGGGAGGAAAACTGGTGAACTCTGAACAGCCGCAAGAAGAGCAAGCGGGGATGCTCTCCACCTACTGTGCTGGTCTCCGTGTGCTGTAAGAACAGACCCTTTGGAATTACATCTGAAGAGCCAATTCCTTGGTGCTTCTCATCACTTTCTGATCCGGACGGCATCCCCTCGCCTGGCTGAGGGCCACCACAGCTGCCCTGAGCCACCTGCCCAGATGCCTGCCGAGCGGCTGCTCGCCGTGGAGGCTTGCAGACGTGTGCCATCGTTACTGAGGGATCATTTCCAGCAGGCATTATTATTTTTTCCACCCTCCTCCTTAATTCAGCTCTGCAGCATCGCAATAAATGAGCGTGCAGACACCAGCCGCTCTCGTGCAGCCCGGCGCCTGCGGTTGGTTTGGGGAGGCAGGGCTTCCTACCCTTGAAATCTGAGGGATCGCCGTGGAGCACACTGTGGACTGTCCAACAAGTAATTCCTGGCTAAACTCCTCCTGTCTCGTGCTGCCTGTCTCTCTCTGACTCGCAGCGCTCCCTTCCCAGTCCCGTGGGCTGATGGAGCGCGCGAGGTGGTGAGTGCCACCGGGCTGTAGCATGCCTGAGCGTGTGGTGGGACCGGCGCCCAGGGACACAGGCGGGCATACGCTCGGACGCTGCGGGGGCCATGGCTTCGTTCGGGAAGCTGACGGAGTACTTCAGCCTGAGGAAGTCGAGGACAGAGCTGCGCTCTGGGTGGCGGGGCCGGCGGAGCGGGAGCTATTGCTGTAGTGTCACCGAGTGCAGGTATGGGGTAGCAGTGGCCCTTCTGTTCTGGTGCCTCCGTGTGTGCCTGAGGGGCTGCAGGGTGGGAGATGCAGTCCTTGGTGTTTTGCTTGCCCTTTCCATCTCCTGGGTCTGGGGAGGGAGCTGGGAGCCAGCCAAGAGCTCTGGAAGCATCACCTCAGTCCTCTCTGGGGCTCCTGGTCAGCTCGTTGCCACGGGATGTCTCTGGCAGGCTCTGTGCCCCGGCATCTGTATCCCGTCCCAGGTGTCGGCGGTGCGTCTCGGGTGTCTGCTGGGTGTCTGTGTGCACGTGTACCTGCTTGCCTCTGCCTTTTGCTTTGTGTTGTGCCGCTGCACCGTCTCCTCGTTACGATGGTGAGGTGGTTGTATCGCGACTGCCCTTCCCTGCCTCTGCCCCTCGCCCTGCTGCCTGCAGAATTCCCCGACTGCACAGGCAGCAAGAAGTGGCTTTGCAGGGGGAGTTGGAAGCGCGGGTGAACACGGTGCTGATGGAGCTTCCGGCACGCAGTAGCTGGGGAGGGGTGGGGGCCTCTCGGCTGTGCTCTGGGACAGGGTGTGGTGGCGAGGGGGCTGCTCTGGGCGGACAGACGCACGGTTCATCGTCAGCTTGTTTGAGGTGCGGATTGGTGAGAACGCGCTGGGGACAGGGAGAGGTGGCATTGGGCAGACTGGAAATCGCCTGGGAGCATGCTGCCGTCGGGGTGCGCAGGGTCACGGTGGGAGGCAGCAAGGCCAGCCGCAGCTGTAGGGTGCAACGTCCTTATTTTGCGTGTAAATACAGTGATTGCAAGTATGGAAATTATTCTGTGTCTGGGTGGCTTATCTCTCCCTGGATATTACGAGCAGCTTGTAGGACGTGGCTAGCACTTGATGCTGGTCTGGGCTTTTCCCCTGTGTGAGGGCTCATGGCGGGGCAGAGGGTTACCAGCCTGAGCAGTGCATGTCCCCAAATCCTCCTGCTGACCTGCACATGGTGCCTCCCCACTTCTGGAGGGGTATGGGTCCATGTGGGGACAGATGGGGGGGAAAAATAGCACCAAGATATCCAGTCACCTTCTTCCCTGCGTGTTGAGCATCTCCTACTCTGTAAAGGTTATTAAAGTATCTGTGCAGATCAAAAAGAAGTTGGAGGTCTGTTGCTTGGGCCCCTCCTGCTGCTTTCCATGTTGCTGCTGAGACATGACGTGCTGTTGCTGTCTCCCCTCTTCACCCAGCCGTTACAAGAGACAGTTGCTTCTTCCCCACTTGCTCAAAGCACGATGTGGTTTCTCCAGAAACGCAGAAACATTCATGGCTGAGCCAAGAGCTTTATTCTGCTCTTTCTCGGTATTGTGGGCAGAAAGGTTTCTGCCCTCAGGTTTTTGCTGTGCTGGCGCAGAGCTGGGTATGAGGAAGGTCAGTTCTTCGGGTGCTGCCAAGCGTGGCGCGTCCCTGGGGGTTGCTGGTGTGCAGCCGAGCCCCACGTGGAGAGCGAGTGTGTGCCACGTCTTGGCCTCTCCCTGGCACAAGGGAGGTGAGGAGATGCTCCTGCGGCTCTGCACCTTATTGATACCCCATGCGCAGGGTGCTACAGTCCCGGACCTTGTGTTTTGAGGGGTGATGGGTGGTTTCCCATGTGAAGCTGTCATGGTGCCTTCCCAACTCTGTGGCTTTAGCTGCGAAAGTGATGTTGCTGCTGTGTAGCTCATGTACCAGATTTTTTTGGGGGATGCTGGGTATGGACATGTTTGAGTGCTTCCCTCACTCAGGAGTGTGGCTCGCCATGTGTCAGTCACAGCCATTGGGGCTGCTGCCGGTTGAAGCTCTGCTCTGTGTGGGGCTGTGGGATGTGGTTCCCCCAAGCAGAAGTTTCTCCACACACCTGGATGGTACCAGCACGGCCGAGCTCAAGATGCTGGGAGCCGTGCTCTCCCAGCTCCTTCACATGTCTCACATCTGCAGGGCAGCTTCTCTGGGCGGGCTCCGAGCATGTCGGCGGCGTTCCTGGTGCCCCCGACTGCCTCAGCGACTTGAGTGCGTCTGTAGATGCCGAGCCCGTTCCCTTGATTGCACGCGGTTGATTATGGAAGTAAAAATAAGCGTTGATTGAAGCATGGGATGCTTTTGAAATCAGTGTCACTTTTCACCCAAGCTACTTGAGGTTTCGGCTGTTTCCTCCTGCAATGTCTGCACATTGAGAAGCCCCATTTGAGACCCCTGACCCAAGCTGAACTGGCTGCTGGCATCCAGAAGGCCAAACACTTCATGGCTGGTTTTATTTCATTTCTTCATGCTAATGTGGGCAAATTAAATAAGGAAATAAGATGCTCAGACCCCACATTTCCATGTGCGTGGAGGTACTGGAGACCCTGCATCCCAGGTTCTGTGGTGTGATGTCTAACAGACCCCACTGGAGCCCTGCCCTGGCCTTTGCGTGGCTCCGGGCAGCTGGGCTGCCACTGCACTTGCCGAAGCTGTGTAGTCCCCTGGGACCACGGCAAACAAACGTAGGCAGGCCTGCAGTAAAGAGGGTGCACTAGCTGGAATTATTAAATTCTAAATACAGCAGTCCCACGCATTCTCATAGGACCTAACAGATATTAGCAGGGTTGTAGTTATGGTCTTAAGTAATATGCCTGCATTTTTAAACTACGCCTCCAGATAAAGCAATGTGTATGCGGTGGGTTGAGTAAGTCTGCTGGATTTGGGAATCTCTGAGCTCAGACTTGTGCGCAGAAGAGGAGCCCAGCCATAGCATCATCTCTCCCTGTGTTCAGGTGCTGTTGAGCAAATGTGCTGCTTACAGGAGCTCTTCAGACTCCTGCGTGACCTGTGGCGCAGAGCTGTGTCATGATTTACACCTTCGCTGTTACGTCACCTGGAGGTTTTTCCAACCTGAGACCGGCTGGTTGTGCTCAGCAGGACGATGCATGCTATGCTGCGGTGCTGTGGCATAGTTGCCCCATGTTATTAAATCAGTGGGACAGTCAGATCTCCAGGGACTGAGAGGCTCCAGGTCTGACAAGCTGGGGACTAGTGTGTCCCCAGCATGCATCTTGTACTGGTGTAACAACTGAGCATAAACACACCAGCCAGAGCCGATTGCAGGAAGGTGTGTGATTTATTTGCAGTAACTTTTTTCAATTTGCAGTAACTTTTTTCAATCTAGCAGAAGCATTGATGGATGAACCAAATGCTCAACTTGACTGGTTTTGGAGCTGTACCGCTTTGTGCAGGATGAAGGCCTGGATCATCGCAGGGGCTGATTTCTCTGCAGCTCAGAGGCTGCAACACTGGATGCAGGTGCCTGTGGGCAAAAGACAGGAGGGGCTGGGGACGCTTGCTGAGGTTTGGGGATTTTGTTCATCGTGTTATCTTATGGTGCCAGCCTCGAGGTGCTCGTGCCCAGCTCTTTGTGTGTTGGCAGGATGGGCAGAGAGGATCTGGTTCTGGCATGGAGGAGCAACGAAAGGAAAAGACAGGTTATACAAAGTAGCTCATCTATTTAGTTAGCTATTTTTAAGCTGAAAGGGATGGACCACTAATTTTGGGTTCCTGCAGCTTTTGAAAATGCATCAGAAAACAGAGAGGTCTATTGTCTTGTAACCGGGCTGAGAAAATGGCCTTGCTCCATGGTGTGTGCCGAGGGAAGGCATGGCGGGCAGGCTCCAGGGCAAGCTGAAGTTTTTGGAAGCAGGCTGGCACCTTTCCAGGCTGCTGGTTGCAGTCAAGGCTGCTTAGCAGCACACTAGCCTGGCAGAGCCCTGGGCTGAGATCCTGGGCGCTTGCAGCAGTTCTGGGAGGATGAGGATCCGGCATCATCTGATGGAGTTAACTGCTTTTTGGAGAATTTTTCAAGGAGACTTTTGGAGTTGATCTTGGCCTGAATGCAATGCTGGCAAGCAGAAATTCCCCCCCCCCCATCCCCTAGGCACAAACTTGGAGGCTGTTTGATTTAGTGGCTGCCTCTCTTGGCCCGGTACTCTTTTTGGCTAGATCTGCTCACTTGGGTTCAGGAGGCTGACGACATGTTCCCACTTTGACAGCTGTCACCTCTCCCCTGCTCCATGGTCTCCTGAGCCTCATACGGTCCCCACAGAGGGGCTTTGACATACTGACCTGGAGATCACTCACCTGGTTGTGGAAAAGGAGATCTTCATGATGGGGGAAGAGGGAGGGGAGAGTTGTGCCTTGTTTTAGATCTGGCATCCCCTTCTGGGGAGACCTGTGGCCTTGGAGGCAGCAGAACTGAAGACCTCTGAAAACTTAAGGGCTGAAGAGCCTGTGTCCTTGGTGGGGTCCAGGAGAGGAACTTTCTCCTGGCTTGAGGGGGGCAGTGGTGTGACCTGTGGTGAAAACCAGGGAAGCTGAGCTTGGGAAATGGGGAAGAGAAGTGCTTGACTTGTGCTGAACCAGGGAGAGGGCAGGCAGGGTGTTTGCTTTCAGATTTCAGTGCATTTTTTTCTTGGTACCTGAATTGGTGATTGGAAGTTGGTGTTAATTAACAATGAATTAAATTATGTAAGAATTAAATTACATAAAAATTACAGCTTGTCCAGCCTGTTTTGCACATGTAATTAGAAAATCTCCAGCTGAAGAAACGGTGCTCCTGGTGATGCTCCAGCTTTGCACTCACAAGGGGAGCAGAGGTGGGTCTGGCTGTCCCTGCTGCTCTGTTGGAGTTGGAGGCCATCCTGGGCCTTATGGGAGGCTGGACTGAGGAACTGCTCAGGGAGCTGTTACCTCTCCTCCTTTGGGGGGATTTTCCACACTGATATCCTGGTCCATGTTCCTTGCTTTGTAGCTTGATGGGCTTTGAGGTGGGTGAGTGGGGAGGGGTAGTGGGCAATGTTTTGCTAGCAGGATTGTGCTTAGTTGCTTTTGGATGTTTAAAAATATCTCTTCAGCTCTGGCAGCGTGTCTATGTTCAAGCAAGCGGTCGTGATGGGAAAGAGGAGGAACTGGCAAGTCTTGGGGCTGGAAAACTGCACTGAAGCAACAAATCCTCTGTTAGCTGCACA